CTTGGGCGAACATGGCAGCGATCATGGCGGCGCGCGGGCAGGGTCTGGAGCAAGATTTCGATTTCTTCGTGGTGGTCGACTTCGAGGCGACCTGCGTCAAAGACGCGCGGATCTTCCCGCAGGAAATCATCGAGTTCCCCGCGGTGCTCGTCGACGGCGCCACCGGCCGCATCGTGTCCGCGTTTCGCAGGTACGTTCGTCCTAAGCATCACCCTGTGCTGACCCAATTTTGCAGGGAGCTCACCGGCATCCGGCAGGAGGACGTCGACGGCGGCGTGGAACTCGGCGAGGCGCTCTGGCTACACGACGCTTGGCTGAAGGCGGCAATGGCGGGAGCAGGGAACAAGAGAGGTGTTCGCTTGGCCGTGGTGACCTGGGGGGACTGGGACTGCCGGACCATGCTCGAGTTCGAGTGCCGCTTCAAGGGCATCGAGAAGCCCTCCTACTTCGATCGCTGGATCAACCTGAGGGTCCCCTTCCAGGCGGCGCTCGACGGCGGAGGGCGGGTCAACCTGCAGGAGGCGGTCCGGGCGGCGGGGCTGGACTGGGAGGGCCGCCTGCACTGCGGGCTGGACGATGCGCTCAACACGGCGCGGCTGCTTGCTGAGATCATGCGGCGCCGGGCCAAGATCACCATCACCGGCTCGCTGGCGCCGCCGCCGCCGCCGCCGATCCAGCAGAAGCAGCAGCCTGGCGCAAGCCCTTGTGGTGGCTCATCGGTGCTGGCGCCGCCACCGATCCAGCAGCAGCCGCCTCGCACAGGCCCTTGCAGTGACACATTTGCGCTGGTGCCGGCGCAGGCGCCGATCCAGCAGAAGCAGCAGCCGCCGCCACCGCAGCCTCACATAATCAGCCCCTGCGGTGGCTCCTCCGCGACATGCTTCTCATACTGCGGGGTGGCGACCAGAGGAGCCATGGAGCCAGGGCCGATGCGGTCTGGATGCCCCAACTGGACGCCGGCCATGGGACCTTACTTCCTGTGGAGCAACTGAACAAACGATCCATGAGACTGGGATTCAGAATCCAGTGTCGCTCAGCTGCTAGTATTGATCGTCCTAGCCATCAGAATCAGAGTGTAGCTCAGCTGATTCTACTATACTCTACTCTAGGTGTGATTGTTCACTGAAATCGAATGAACGTCACCAATGGGGCTATTGTTGATGTAATTGGTGTCTGAATTATTAGTAGCATCAATATAAATTTAGTTTTAGTTATTACCACTGTTAATAGAAGATTTGTTTTACCTTCTCTGTGGATTTCTTCAGTACTAAGCAAACGGCCAACGATTGACTTGTTAGTGACATTGATAAATTTCTGAAGAAGGCTACAATTCCAATCGACAATGCAAACGGAAATTCGTTCTCCGATGAAGCCCCCTGCCCCGCCGAGGAGCGACCGATGTCGAGGAGAGGGATGGTCTCTCTCCCAAGGCACATTCATCAGTAGGGCTGGACTAACGAGCAGCTCGGCTCGTTAAGCTCATACTCGTTAAGCTCGTGCTCGTTAAGGCTCGGCTCGTTAAGCTCGTTAAGATTAACGAGCAGAAAACCCTGCTCGGCTCGGCTCGTTTGAAGCTCGTTAAGTTCGTGAGCGCTCGCGAGCGCTCGTTAATAAATTATAATGTGTTATGATATACGTGATGAATGTGTAGGTATGGTTTTCAAGATGAAATATGGTGACTACAAAAAGAAATAAAGTAGTTTGTTGCCTCATATGTCGATTAGATTAAATAGATAGGCCGAGATGCTACAAAAAGTTTGTCACGTAATATGAAAATATGTGTTGTGTTGTTACTAACGAGCTTAACGAGCTACTCGTGAAACTCGTTAGCTCGCTCGTTAAGCTCGTTAAGCTTAACGAGCTAAAATCAATGATTGGCTCTGTTCATTAAGAAGCGAGCTATGAGCTTAACGAGCCGAACTATCGAGCGCTCATTAAGCTCGCGAGCTACGAGCTTTTGGTCCAGCCCTATTCATCAGCATCGAACAAGACGGTGTTAGAACCTTATATCAAGATTGAAAAATAAAACAGCCAACTGTAGATTTCTGAGATAAGAGCTACTCCCTCTGTTCCATATTACTCGTTGTTGATTTAGTACAACTGGAACGGAGGGAGTAATAATTTTCTGTACATATTTATCACGTGGTGCTGGAAGTCCTGGGGGTATAGTTAAAAGCCAAAGTTATTGTAATAGTATGGCACTTTTGTTGTCCAGAAATTGAACAGTTTTGGAAGCTAGTTCCTTTTATCCACTTTGAGTTCCTCTTGAGCTTGAGCTCTTTGAGGCTTGCTTGGTTCATTGTCCCCTATTGTTAAAAAAATAAACTCTGGAGGAAAACAGGCATAACTTTCATCGTATTTTCAGCGACATAAACCTGAGCGATTTTGAATCTGATTTGTTGCTCTGATAGAATTATCGGTGTCCAAAATCCAGCTGCTAACAGAGACTTCTTGTCCATCCAGCATGTTCAGGAGCTGTTGCTTGTATTGCATCGCTCATTTTTCAGAACAAACAAGAGAAATTTCCAGCTGGAGTATTTATTTCCTTTAATGCCACATGTGCGAGTTATGCATGATTAGGGCCTACAGTCCATATTCTTGATGTAATTGGTGTCTGAATTATTAGCATCAACAATATTAATTTCGTTGTTACTATATTACTACTATTAATAGAAGATTTGTTTTACCTTCTCTGTGGATTTCTTCAGTACTGAGCAACAGGCCAATGATTGACTTGTCGGTGACATTGATAAATTTCTGAAGAAGCTACTATTCCAATCGAGATTGCAAACAGAAATTCGTCCTCCAATGAAGCCCCCTGCTCCGCTGAGGGGTGACCGATGACGAGGAGAAGGATGGTCTCTATCTAAGCCACATTCGTCGGCATCGAACAAGGCGGTGTTATTGTTTTAGATACGACCATCATAGAGGCAACTTTAATCAAGATTGAAAAATGAAACAGCCAACTATAGATTTCTGAGATAAGAGCTAATTCAAATAATTTGCTGTATATATTTACAGTATAAACCCGAAGTTGTTGTAATTTTGTTGTCCAGAAGTTGAACAGTTTTGGAAGTTCGTTTCTTTATCCACTATCAGTTCCCCTTTGAGTTTGAGCCTTTTCAGGCTTGCTTGGTTCATTGTTCCGTATTGTGAAAAAAATAAATTCCGAAGGAAAATAGGTACTGTAACTTTCATCATATTTTCAGCGACATAAACCCGAGCTATTTTGAATCTGGTTTGCTGCTCTGATAGAATTATTGGCATCCAAAATCCAGCCGCTGATAGAGACTTCTTGTCCATCCAGCATGTTCAGGAGCTGTTGTTTGTGTTGAATCACTCATTTTTCAGAACAAACAAGAGAAATTTCTAGCTGGGGTATTTATTTCCTTTAATGCCACATGTGCGAGTCATGCATGATTAGGGCCTACATGGATAAACGGATGGTGGTGCACTTGGGAGAAGATGAAGGCCGCCGTTTTCAGATGATAGCTCAGCTCATAGACAAGAGAATACTGGAGTTGAACAAATGATTTCTTCAGTTTTCATACTATAAATAATACCAGTATATGTGCTCTGAGGCGTTCCATGTGGAATGTTTGTAGCAGAAGCTAAGACAAATTGTGCCGGTGTAGATATTTGTTGATAAACATGGCTTGTGAGGGGCAAAATGGACAAATTTGACCTCAGGGTCAAAGTATTTCACAAACTGAACCGTCGGCGAAACTAATTCACCCAGTTGACCCTTTTGTGCAGCGCCCGATAGTAAGGCAGTGCACTCTACAGAGCAGCGTCTTATTGACAGGCGTTGCACGCCTGGCATGCGTGGCACCCCGGGGCCAGGCTCGACCCCACCCCTGGTCATGCAGCGCCTAGCCGACAGGCGCCACACTTGCCAGGTGTAGCGTCTATGCGTAAGGCGT